TTAAGTCAAACAGACTCCAAAAGCAATCGATCAGTTTCATGTTTTTTTCTTTCTCCTTGGTTAATGGGTCCTGATCGATCAGAATTTTCTTGGTTGGTCGTGAATAGAATGTGGTCTGAAATTCCAAATATGCCGTTCTTTTTTTTTTTTTTTTTTTTTTTTGAAGTGAGGAATTTCATTTTAAAAAAACAAATTACACAAGACACAAATGATTGAATATGCCGTTTATATTGAGAACTTTAAGTATTTTTTTCCCAATATAAATCACTTCTTTAATTTTGATGTTAATTATAAATGATGTCTAACTAACTATATTATACCACATCATTTAAAAAATATAAAATACTTTTATCATACTTTAATGTTTGAGTTTATTAAATAAGGTGACATAATATGATTGATTAAACATCATTTGAAAATTTAAAAAATTGGACAAATAATCTGATTTCTATATATATATGTATATTATTTTCTTCAATTGAAATAAACATTACCAAAATTAATGCAATAAATAATTTTCGAATAAACATATCACTTAAACCATGGATTTCTTCAAAGAACATGGAAGATTTTTTCGAAATGCTCTTTTTGATTGGTGTACATATAACTTTGTAAGTGAGACAATTCAAACTATATAAGAAATAAATCTTTGACTCTTTCAAAATGCTGCCACTCCAGAGTAAGTTCTTTTAATTGATACAAATAATAAATCTATTGTCCTCGTAAATCTTCAGCCACCTAATTATTATTATTATTCGTATTATTAATAATTTATTATTGTTATTATTATTATTGTTATCATTATTATTATTATTATTATTATTATTATTATTATTATTATTATTATTCAGATTTGACAATTTTAGAAGCTACATAAATGACAAGAGACCACAAAAACGAGAAACCAAAATAGAAAAACTTAACTAGATATAGATATGTGTGAAACAAACTAATTACCACTGTAATTAAGATGAGATCTAAGTAATGTATTTATTAAATATGAAATTAAAAGGGATATAGATATTAAAAAAAAAAAAAACTTACCGGTGAGAGAGAACTCACACTCTGATAAAACAGATTGTCAGAGTGTGAGATAAAGATGAAAAAAGATAAAGACAAAAAAAAAAAAAAAAAAAAAAAAAAAAAAAAAAAAAAAAAAAGCCCCCCAAAAAAAAAAAAAAAAAAAAAAAAAAAAAAAAAAAGAAGAGAGACCTCCAGGACCGAACGTTAAATACCTTTTCAATTTGTTATGAAACTCATGGCCAACATAAACTTTCAATTGCATAATTGTGAGCGAAAAAACGGGTTTCTATAGCAGAATCAGATTTTGCAGATCATTCACTTTTATGTTTATTTTTTGCTCATCTCTCTTTTATGTTTATTGATTAAGTGGTCGGATTCCCTTATTCTGATAATGTTGAAGCGTACTTATGTTACTATAATTTTGTGCTTAAGAAGAATTTATATGGCACTTGTTTTCATTAAAATCCATTTATATATATAGATATTATGCTTATATTCACAAACAATATTATTCCCCTTTTCCTTAAAAAAATTTTAGTTACTCCTTTTTTGAGAAACCCCTTTTTTCTTCTTCTTTTCTTTTCCTTTTAAGAATTCCCTTTTTCTTTTATATCTACAAGAATCAATTTGCCTATTAAGGGCTAAGCTTCTTCAAAATACTATCAAACGCTTATCAGCAAACTAAACAGTCATTGATCACCGATTTGGATTCTCTGTCAAATTCCTTTAAATTATCATACCATTTTAAAATCCAATATGATTCTAATGAGATTTGACAATTAAAAACTAAATTCTTTTAGTTCAGCAAAGTATACCCTACTACATAGTTCCTATGATCCTATTAGTTCTCTTGTAATAGAGAGAAAAAAAAAAAAAAAAAAAAAAACTCTTGCAATATATATAGTACAAGAATGAAATTCTTAAAAACAAAATGACCAGAAGGTATGGATTGTGCATGCTTAGTATAAACTATGTGAATTTAATGATTACTCTAATACTAATCTATCATTGAATATCATTATTTTAACTATAAGATATTGATTCGACGGCTGTAATAAATTGGGTAGTTAGTTAATAAATTTTATGACAATTAATGAAATTAAATTCTTATTACGCTACATCATCAAATTTTTATATTTAATAAATAACCGCCATAAAAATATAACCATTCAAAACTCGTCTATATCTTTACTACAATACATTACCAAAGCTAAATGGGTTTTCTGGAGTGCTCCCCGAAATGTTTTGTTGAAGTTTATTTATTTATTTTTTAATTTTTTTAGCTCCTCACCTCCTTTTAAAAAAAAAAAATCCCTCCATTTTTCTCTGTTTTTTTTTCCTCTTCTTTTTTCATTCTCATATTTTTTTTCCTCAATATACATTCTTCTTTTTTTTCTTTCTCCAAATTAACCCTTATAAATATATTTTTCTCTATAATTCCCTATTGAAATAATTTTTTCTCATACATAGACATGTAAAATTCTTTAAACTCTTCCCTCCATTGACGAGACGTTTTGTAAGTGTTTTTTAAATCTTTTTTACTTCCTTACATTTTTTATTCTTTTTTTTTTCATTTTTATCTTTTTTTGTCTTATTATAAATTCTTTTTTTTTTCTTTCTTTCTTTAAATAAAAAATTAACAAATATATTTTTCATTCTTATTTACAGAATATCGCAGGTATGTGCACGCGATTTCAACCGGTATACATGTGTGTGTGTGTGTTTTTAAGCCGTGACGTCCACGATTGAATAATAGTGAGCATAACGTACGTTATAATTAGAGGGGAAGCCAGGGTAGTGGGGGTTCCCATAATTGGAAGTGCAACACATGAAAGGAATACTGATTAGATCCGAGGGATGAAAACCTTTTCGTTTGTGTCATGTCAATAGGTCATATCTGTCAATCACTAGGACATATATTATCGGAACCAATATAATTAGTAGTAGAGAAAAACTTCCCTAATTTGGTACGTGCTAGCTAGCTGAGAACTTCTACGTAGTACTTCTTGGGGGGTCATTCTCATGTGAATCCGAGGTCTATAGAGCCAAGATCTTAGCCAGCCATGAGAATCATGGAAAATGAACGAATAAAGGGAAAAATGTTGAAATCTGAAACTGCAATGATATATACAATGGCCCTCTTGGTAATTTTATATTATGGGACATTGGTGAAAACGTGGCAAGTAACTTCTAACTTATAAAACCCATTTGAAAGTATTGTTGAATAAGAGCACCACCTGGATGAGATACAGTGTAGAGCTGAAAATCATTTCTCATATGATCTCATATTCTTTTCCTCCATAACCCACTACCACAAAAAGGTATATAATAAGAAATTATTAGTCCATATATAATATTAATATTTCAACTATCATGGTCTTAACTTTTAAGTCAGAGTTGATATGATATCTAGTGCATATACAGTTGCTAATTAATCTCACAATATCAATAATTTCATTTGATTGGAAAATCCAATTAGTACCCCGCAAGGATTTTTTTTTTTAATACAAGCTAGCTGTTGCAAGGGATTTCTTTTAATAAAGGGAAAAAAAAAACAAAAAACAAAGTTACCCTTTTTGAATGACAACGTAAGTATATTGAATCCTCAAGCAACTTACCTGTTATCCCATATATTATTCTTTCTGTTTCTATTATTCAAGAGGCAAGTGTTATTTACTAGATTGGGTTTTTTCCTTCTTTAAGAAAATAACGCCTGCAAGTTACAGCAATTAGTTTGCACAAGTATTCTCTCTCTCTCTCTCTCTCTCTCTCTCTCTCTCTTGACAACGTAAGTATATTGAATCCTCAAGCAACTTACCTGTTATCCCATATATTATTCTTTCTGTTTCTATTATTCAAGAGGCAAGTGTTATTTACTAGATTGGGTTTTTTCCTTCTTTAAGAAAATAACGCCTGCAAGTTACAGCAATTAGTTTGCACAAGTATTCTCTCTCTCTCTCTCTCTCTCTCTCTCTCTCTCTATATATAATATATATATATATATATATATATATATATAATCTTTCACATGCTATTGGGCCATGGAATTAGAATATACATTTGTCTTGTTTCAAAGAGATAAGTAATTAGCTGCATGGGAAATTCTACATACAATCACCGTGATAATACTCCTAATTAAAACAAAGATTAAATTAGACACGCACCAAAAAGGGGCAAACCATGGATAAACCACAAGCCTTTCTTGTATATATATAAGTGATCTAAAGTGGCCTTAAGATGTTTGACCTCACTGAGACCTCATTTATTGCCATCCACTCCACGACCAGCAATAATCCCACGCACCCATTCTTGAATGTGACTAACACGCAATCATGTAGGACCCTCTCGGCTGATCCATATTATATAAAATATATGTTCACTAATATATATATATATATATATATGTCACAACCTTCTTCTTTTTATCTTCTTATTTTTATATATGAAAATGATGATATATATAATAAAGTGAACTAATGATATGTTCTATATTAATTTATGCATAATTTAAAGGGCCTTTCTTGGAGCTCATGAAACAGATAATTGATGATCACAGATTAAATATGCTATTTATTTAAAGTTTAAAAAATTTGATCACGTCTTTACACATATACATCTAATTATACGTATTTGTTATGAAGGAATTCATATGCGTACATGTACATAACACATTTCTGTCGATTTTGATACAACATAACGTAATGTTAATTATTTACTGCAGTAATTATTTTTTTCCCTTTTTTTTTTTAGGTTGCAAGGAAAATGTAGGGTTAATTTGTAGATAGAGAGTGGACGAGCCGCGGGGGAGTGAATAGTATACATATCACGTCTAATGGGGCCACCATGTGAATTTTGAATCCTCTCAATCTCTCTCTCTCTAAACATGACACGCAAACACAAGGTTTTCTCCACCATTATTATTCTCCCCCCTTGGCAACAATAAAACTCTTTCCCCAACCCCCCCAAATTTTTTTTTCTTTTTATTCTTTTCATTCACTCTCTTAATTAAATCTCTCTTTCTTTAGCACTTTGCTTTCTCATTCGTGTTCATTCATCCATACTTTTTACGTCCCATCATTGAGCGGTCTTCTTCTTCTTCTTCTCTCTCTCTCTCTTCTCCCCCCTAAAACTCTCACTCCCTCCCCCCCCCAACAAAAAAAAAAGCCGAATTAACAAACACTAATTTCCTATGAAAAAGGATCCGTTCCCACAGTAGTACTATAAGCCATAGGAGCAGTCTCCTAAGCAGCTAGCTAACAACGCACCCAATTAAACACCTCCTTACCTCACCTGATCAGAGATATATATATTGAAGATCATCGCCGTCATCATCAGAAGAAGAAGATTCCAAGTCAGAAAACCTTCGAAACAAATAACAGTACCAGTACTGCTAATACTAGTTCCGTCGAAAATAGTTCAAAAGAGGAATAATAGCTATTAGTAATAGTAGTATTTTTCCATATGGATTCAGCTTCAGGAGGCGAAGGATCATCATCAGCCTCAGGAGCCGCAGGTGGGCCGACGTCAGACCCGAGTAGTACCCAAGGCCCGTCGTCGGGAACCGGGTCGGCCCAGACGGCGACGTCGTCGGATCAGGGAGGCCCATCAACGGCCCAGCAGCAGGGGCCGAGCAGGTACGAGTCGCAGAAGAGGAGGGACTGGAACACGTTCCTGCAGTATCTGAAGAACCACAAGCCGCCGCTGACGCTGGTCCGGTGCAGCGGGGCCCACGTGATCGAGTTCCTCAAGTACCTCGACCAGTTCGGGAAGACGAAGGTCCACGTCTCCGGCTGCCCTTACTTTGGCCACCCGAACCCGCCGGCGCCGTGCGCCTGCCCGCTCAAGCAGGCGTGGGGCAGCCTCGACGCCCTCATCGGGCGGCTCCGTGCGGCATACGAGGAGAACGGCGGACGACCGGAGTCCAACCCTTTTGGGGCTAGGGCTGTACGGATTTACCTACGGGAGGTTAGGGAGGGCCAGGCCAAGGCCAGAGGGATTCCTTATGAGAAGAAGAAGCGGAAACGCTCTACTAGTACTAGTACTACTGCGGCGGCGGTGGAGGTGGCGGCGGGAGGGTCTAGTGGTGGTGCTGGTGGTGGAGGTGAGGGGAGTGGGAGTGGCGGTGCTACTGCGCCTGGAGGGGATCATGATAGTGGTGGTGGTGCGGCCGTGGCGACGGCTGAGACGACGACGACATGATGATTATAGGTTTTACTGATTTTTCTTTTTTAATTTTAATTAATCATCTTCTTTTTTCTTCATCTTCTTCTTTTATATCTATTTTAATTGTGATTATTTATGAGCTTATGTATATTTAGGCGATTCGCTTATAATTGGATGGATCGACCCTCCCATGAACGAAAATTTTCAGAAAATTTTCCATTTCCTTGAGTTCCTCTCTCTCGTTCTCTATATATCCACTTTTTTACTTGATGACGAGTACTGTTAGATAGCGAAAGGGCAACAAGTTTCGAGTATGGCTTCATTTCTTTTTTACTTGACTAGGAACAGGAATCCAGAGTTTGTTTCTTCTTCTTCTTCTCCTTCTTCTTCTTCTTCTTCTTCTTCTTCTTCTTCTTCAATGAGGAGTTATTTTTCTATTTTTTCTTTTTCTTTTTACGCCGACGTAAAAACTAGCGCATCATTGCAGTTCATTTTGCGCGCGCACACAGAGAGGCAGATATATATATATATATATATATATATATATATATATTGTCTCGATAGGTCCACAAAGTCATGCAGATCAAAATAAAACTTTGACAATTTACTTAAAACAAAGTTGTATTTTTTTTTTGTTCCTTATATAATCTACATTTCTTTAGGTTCCCCCTTTTCTCATGGCTCTTTTTTTTATACATATATATCCCATAAAACCGTTGCTTGTTTAGTTTATTTTTGTCCCCAACTGATCATCAAGAATGTACTGGAGGACATTTGTTAAATGGTAAAAACAACCGCAGTGTCTGTTAATTTAAACCACATCGTTCAAGCATATTCCAGCAAAAAAAAATCGCATTAATGTATAATCTAGCTATGGCTAGCTCCACGTGCACCTTGGCGTCCTATAACTTTTTACAACAATTTTCAGTTAATTGATCAGGTGCTCGTTTGTACATTGATCAATCTAGGTTTGTTGTTTTCAGGATTTAAGATTCTGGGGGTTTTTTTTTTTTTTTTTTTTTGGTATTTGGGTTAGGAATTTTTTAATTTACTCATCATTTGAAATTTTTTTTAGAGTTACTTTCTGGTTTCTATTTCTCTCTCCTTGATCCACATAAAAACATTTCTTTCTTTTTGATTGCAACAACTATAGAAAGACATACGCTACAATCATCGATGGATGAATTAAAAAATTAAAAATAAATGAATAATCTCTTGTGATTGCTTGCACTTATTTTATTCCGAGTAACCACCACCTCAGTGTGTGAAAACGACCAGTAGCCAACCCTTTCTTCCATTCTATTGTATATACAAACATACACACACACACACATATATATATATATATATTATCGTATATCGTATAGCATATAGTATTCTGTTTTGTTATAAAATATAGGATACATAGACCCACCGGTCAATTGCAAACAAAACTCTCGTTTCCTGAAATTCAAATTATGCCCACAGGTCAATAAAAATCATATACCGCATTTATTAATTTGTCCTATTCATGACGTGCTTAAAAATTTCTAGGAACGTTTTCTTGTTTGATTCTCCTTGCCCTCATTTTAATTTTATTTTTCGTTTTCCCCTTTTTTTAAACAATGTTTGATCTACATGCATTTTTACATGTTCTTTCACTTTCTTTGCCTTTTAATGGAGTTGCAATCTCAATCAGGACACTTTTTTTTCTCACTTTTCTTCTTCCTTTTCTTTCCATGACATGATCCATTTTTTTTTTTACCAACTTTTAATCAATCTAAAACAAATTACTAAAATCAACAAGCAAAACGATGAGATTTTGCAGACTAATTTTTCCAGCAAAAAAAAAAAAAAAAAAAAAAAAAAAACCGTACCCCACATTAATTAGATTATCCTAAAAAGACAGAGAAAAAAGCCAACAGTATTCCATTTATTTCAAATGGTTTTTACACATCACTATCAACATTTTAGTGTTTTTTCTTATAAGGAATTGAAGATATCTAGTAGTCTTGCATGTACGGACACCAAATTGATAAACTCGAAAGCTAATAATCGGAATAGTAATATATGAACAATTAATTTGTGTCGTTTTTATCTCACATGGGCATATGCTTCAGTACTACCTACGCGGGTCAGAGAATTCTGAGCGCAGAATTAAGTGCAAAAGGAGCAATGTCACGAGATTAAATCTGATTTGCAAGAAAGAGAAAGCCCTAGTAGCTTCTGTGACATTTCTTGTTGATTCTTTTGTCGTTACATACTTTGGCATTCATATTTACTACTCAGCCCAAGTGATACTTCATTTAGAAGGAGAGAGAGAGAGAGAGAGAGAGAGAGAGAGAGAGAGAGAGAGAGAGAGAGAGAGAGAGAGAGAGAGAGATCATACGGGGGATGGCCTATCTATATAAATAAATCTTCGGCTTGGCCTTGCTTTGTGGGGTAATTTCTTTATATTATAAGCTCCTGACTGAATAGTCTTGTCCATCACTACTGAGGCAAGCTGTGTTATAATATTTAATATCATCTTTTTTTTTTTGGGAAGGAATATATCTATAAACACACATATATATATATATTTACATATAGCTCTCTGAATTGGGTTCAAAGAAAGGCACCCACATACCCTTGTTTTAGAGGCAGAAATGTATACGGATAATACCACAACACGTGGGGTAATGCCCTAATATTCACCATTTTATACGCATTGCAATTATATGGTTTTGTACGTACATCATGTACATCTAAGATCCTCGGGATGGTTCAAACTTTCAGAGACCAATTTTCAAAAGGGTCCTACTTGGTGCAACTAGCCCTGCTTTGCCCTTACCGTAGTTCTTACACCCGCTTTGCTCATTCAATGATCAAAACGTTTTTAGGCCAATCTTTTTTATTTTTATTTTTACACTTCTCTCTTTTGAAATGCTGGGTTATATATTATATATTGAGCATTGGGTCTTTACCCTTTTTGCAACGTCTGGGAAAGCTGTCACTGGGCTGTGCCCTTAGAGAAACATTATCTCTGTCTTTCAGTTGATAGATTGTCTGGCACTACATTTATGGTGTGTTAGATTTCAAGTGGAAAACCGGACTTGGCCATTAACAGGGCAGAGAATTTATACGGGGGAGAGCTACAAGACAAATGTCTGGTAACTACGTTAGGACCAAAATTGTCTTTAATTAACTGTTCGGTTACTTTATTCGTATTTTTCTTATTCTTCTTTTTTAGACAAACTCATTTTCTTCTCTTTGGTTTAAGTAGTCAAGAGAAGTAGCTTATATATATATATATATATATAGATATATATGTATGTATGTTAAACTAAATCAAAGCTCCAATATATTTCGTCAGTACTGAATATAGGGGTTACTTTTTATATATTTTCTAAACACGACGTTTTTTAAGACCATCATAAATTGAACTTAATAATTAGTTTTGAATTAGTTCAAGTTTACAAGAATTTTAGGACTAATTGACATTCAACAGTCATGGGATGGAATGATTATTCGGCTGTTATATATGTTCACACTTGCAAGCTTTTTAAGGCGCTGGCGTATTCGCATCACACTTTATACGCTTGTATCAATTAAGTTCCAATTTGTAAACTTAGCTAGATCAACCATGTGTGTGTGTGTGTAATATATATATAAAGTAAGTTATATTCGATCCTTACAAAAGTTAATGATCACCATAGTTTCATAAGTAAAATTCACACATTACATTACTGATAATACTATCAAAATACTCTGAATTGAAGAATATGTATATCAAATGATTAGGTAAAATAATATTTTAATTCTAAAATGTCTCCTAATTAAATTTATCTTATGTCATTAATAACTTGCATGTTATCTGTTCATAACTTGCAGGTTATCTTTCACAATCTGTAAGTTATCTTTCGTAATCTACAGGTTATTTTTTATAGTGATACTAAAATTTTGTACAGTAGAATAAATAATAGAGTTGGAAAAAACAATGGTTAAACTTAAAATTTTCTCAAAATAGTTGCAACCAGCTAGAGGTTAAAGTTCAGGCCGTCCGGCCCAACCCGACACTTTCCCAACGACCCAAATAGAAATTTTAGACTGGATCGGTCCAATCAAACTCTAAAGCCTCACGAGCCTAGGGCTTGCCTTGCCTGAAGTTTTATAAGGTATTTTAAAAAAAAAATTAATACGTGGTCGTTTGGCCCAACTCGAATAAACTTTTGAGCTTAAAATCTCGTCCCAACTCGGAGGTTTAAGCTGGGCCCGAGTCAACAATAGTGAGCCTCGAGTTAACTTGACCTAAACTTGTAGTTTTATAGTCAGCCAAACTAGACTTCTTATGTCATTAATAACTTGCATGTTATCTGTTCATAACCTGCAGGTTATCTTTCGTAATTTGTAAGTTATCTCTCGTAACCTGTAGGTTATTTTTCATAGTGGCACCAAATTTTTGTGCAATGGAATAAATAATAGAGTTGAAAAAAATAATGGTTAAATTTGAAATTTTCTCAAATTAATTGCAACTAAAAGGTTAAAGTTCAGACCGTCCGGCTCGGCCCGGCCCTGGCCCTAGCCCAGTGACCTAAATGAAAATTTTAGACTGGGTCAGTCCAATCAAACTCTAAAGCCTCACAAGCCTAAGGCTTACCTTGCCTACAATTTTATAAGGTATTTTAAACAAAAAAATTTAATACAAGGTTGTTTGGCCCAACTCAATAAATTTTTTAGCTTAAAATCTCATCCTAAGAGGTCAAAGCTAACCCGAATTAACAATAGTAAGCTTTGGGTTGACCTGATCATCTAAATTTACAACTCTATAGCTAGCCAAACTAGACTTCTTTTATTATTATTATTATTATTATTTCCTATCTCTCTTTAAAAAAAGAAAGAAAGAAAGAAATAGTTAATGGCTTGTATCATTAGCATCAGTAGTACTAGGCGAACCAAATAGTGTAGGGGACGAAATCAAAACCTCACTTAAAAAAAAAAAAAAAGAAAAAAATCAAAGATGTCTCTAATCTAACCTGACCTGTTAGGCCAATAATTGCTGACGTTATGGAGCTTCTAGAAGAGTGTTGGCGTTTGGTACAATTATATTAGTTATTATTGCTTTCAGTGCACAGCTTTAAACACATTATTACATTTATCATATAATTTTTCTTCCCTGGGCTATCGCGCGAATATTATAATAAGAACTTTATACTCATACCAACATCGTCGTTTACTTTTTTTCCCCCCCTTTTTA